TTACTTTTCAGCAATCCCTTCTTCCCCATGCCAATCGGTACTTTTGGGTGCATAAGTCGAAGGGAGGGCGTGGTCAGGCGAGTTCTCTTTCGTTGGCGTCGGCTCTGTCCCCTTATCACCATTTGAAATGGGAAGAGGTAGTAGCGGAACAACTGCACCACCAGGAGGCCTTATGAAAGTTGGGTGTTGCGCTGGCCAGTGGGCGGGGCGGTGGCTCCGCCGAGAGCGGGTCGCGCTCCCTCACGTATTTTTCGGTTGCAAAAGTGGCACATACTTCATGCTTCCGGGCAGGACTACCTTGTCCGAAGAGGTCATCTGCACATCACATGAACGTGGAGCGAGCCTTTGAGCCCCGGAGTGTTGCTAGTTATTTGTACCGGAACTAGTCAGGTTTTCACCACAGCAAAACAGCAGAATGGTCAGCACGCTAACCTTGTAACTTGTCAAATCGATAGTTTCATCTGTAGCACGCGACTTCGGTTGCGATGACTTCGTCACCGGCCTTGTTCTCGATGTCTTTTGCCGTATTGGCGCACAACCACGAACAGGGAACGACTCTACAAAATTTGCATAACTTAGGTTTTGAAAACAAAGAATAAATCTTTTCTTCAGCATGGTAGACACTTCAGTGAATGGGACGATTAAATACGTACAACTTGTAAAGAATACTTACGTTTTCGCTGTTGTTCTTCCATGGACTCAGCTAGAGAAATCAATTCCTTCAGGTATTTATCATCTTCACTGTCACAGCTGACAATGAAATTTCTGAAAATAGCTGTGCTATGAAACTGCAAAATTCAGTTCGCTATCGCTTTGAACAAGAGATCGAAAAAAAATCCAACAAGAATAAACCTCAAGAAATCAACAGCGGTCCAACCATCGGCATTCTTTTTGACGACCGATGCTCCACATCTCAGCAAATCTTTGATGATTTCGATAAAACCCTTGTCGCATGCCTCCATCAAAGGAGTTATACCGCCTCCAGTCTGTGAACTGAATACTAAAGAAACAGCGGCCAAATTCACAAAAATTTCAAAAAAAGGAATTTCAAAAAATCCTTAACAGCATAAAAAACCCGAAGTCGTAATGGGAACTGATGAAGCTTACCGAGTTTTCGTCGTCATTGAGCACTTCTGTGCTAACAGGATCAACCTTAGCGCCTGCTTTGAGCAACGCTCTCACATTGTCTCGCATTCCAGCAGAAACCGCTTCACTTATTGGAGTCCAGCCGCCATAATCACGCTTGTTCACATCGTAACCCTGGACAAAACCTCTTCACTATCTCTATTTTAACTGAATCTGAGACTACCCCAGCCAAATCACTTCCCAATGCAGTATAATTCAACGTTCTTCTTCCACAATAACTCTATAAATATGGCGCTGTTCGACTTGGAAGGGGCATTTTGCACTTCCGCTAACCCCTTGCTAGTTCGTCCTATACGTCGCTCCATGGTGACACCTGTGAATTCTTTTCAAATGTAAACCAAGCTCCTACTTTTACACAGCTTTGCAGGAATTTACAGGCCTCCACAGAAATCAACGCAGCGATCGATGGGAACTGACATAATGCCCCCACCAAGCCGAAATGCGCCCAAAACTTTAACCGAGACATCAAGTCTCAATGACACTCACCGCTGCAATAAGTTTGTCCACCATTGCCGAGTCATTACTTCGAGCAGCAATGTGCAGACGAGTTTCTCCATGAGCGTTTTTCTCCTTGTCACGGTCTTTCTCGATTTCTCGATCGCTGTTGCGTAAACGAGCCATCTCTGAAAATCTCAGATCCCAGCCAAGTAATAGTGGAAATCCCAGGGAACTACTTTTATACCCATGCATTCCGACAGAATTGCTTTGTCGGGCCTCGATTCTAAATCGTCGTCGATATCTTCTTCGTCGTCATCTTCCCCGCTTTCTTCGATATCCGCTTCACTTCCAAGTTGTTTGGCTCGCGCAAGATATACGGCGGCATTCTCGTCTCTTTGCGACGCGAGGTAGCGTCCCATCGCTTCGTAGATCGTAGCCTTAATATCTCAATTCGTTTTTTTCTCACGGGGGACTGAGAAAAATCTACCTTGAGAGAAGGGCATTCATCCGGTATATCAGAATTTAACGCGTCAAATTCTCCCATAAGTGATGTCTTCGCTGTATTTTTACGGGAAGCTTTCGCTTTGAAGATTAGTGCCCGGGTTTCACATAGCTGTAATAGGAGTTGTGCGTGTGGTATATTTTCAGAGCCAATGAGAGTACCTACTTTGATTTCGGACCTTCCCAATTTCTTTTCAAAACATAACGCTTTCTCAAACCATTCCAAAGCTTCGTCAAAGTCCTCTAAATCCATCAAAGTTTGCGCTACTGAGATGGCAGCACTGAACTTTTCCTTGTCTGACAGGCTTTCCCCTTAAAAGATAAATATGGATATGGGAATGGCTGAATAACTTCAAAATAAAACGGAGTCTAAAGACTTGTCCGCTCGTGGAATGCTGGCCGCAGAGCCAAGAGGCGTCTAGACTGACGCTAGACTACCTTCTCGCCATTATATGAAGTGAAGATGCGGGAAAGGCGGGAATGAGGAGCGGCGCAATGACGTTCGTATTGATAGTCCGCGCCCTCTGACTATGATCCTAAATGGGTCTGGTAAATCCGGACTCGAGTTAAAAGAAGATGCGAATGAGTGGTGACCAGTGTCGTAAGGTTGAAGCTCCATTAGTAGCGTTCAGACTTCGTGTCGACCGAAAAGCGGCTGTGACGCGCCTAGAACGCGCTTGTAATTGGTTTTACAGCGCTTTCAACTGATGCTAGACGCAGACCCGCAGCGCAGGACAGCAATCAAGCAGCATCTTGCCGCTTTTCTGTTTCCGGAGAGTGTAAGAGGGGTATAGAAAGATGTGACTGCGTAGTGACAGAGTCAACCCTCTTCTTGTCTCATACTCTCTGAACACAAACGGCCTGAGCCGATCGACTCCCTTCTGCAGCTGCGTTCGGTCTAACGCCCTTACATGGTAGCTTATAGACGCGCGTATACAGCGCGTCACGTGAAGTCTTAACGCAGCCGTAAATCACAAGGATAGGCACAAATACTCACTGAAACATCATTTTGTAGAATTTCAATGCATGCTCGAATATTTCTCTTCTCTCGCCCCTGAAGAACAGAAGTTAGGGATTAGCCAAATAAGAAAATAATAACTCACCCATAGGAACAGAAGGAATCTGCTATAAGCTCGTACATACGTCGCCGCTCTCTGCGATCGCAATCAGAACTCTTGGAGCGATCGAGTCGATAAAAATACTTGTATACTAAAATAAAGAAATATTGTAGAGCGGTTCCGGGACTACCCATAATATAAATTCGAGGGTAACCTACAAAATACTACGCGAGCGTTGAGTAAATCAGCATCATCGGCCATGAGCGATGATCTGTGATGAAGGAGACACTCGAACAAAGCGTTTTGTGCGTTTAGAAAATCTCCAGCATACATCAGGACCTAGATCGCACGTATGAAATGACATCCAGCAGCAATGTAAACAGTTTTGTGCCGCGGATGGTAGACTGTCTCCCCGGATGAAGGGGCGTGTCAGGCGGGATGTTTGAATGGCCGCCAAACCCGTACTCCACCAGAAGCCACACTACCATATCCCTCTTATCTGTCGCTTTCCGCCAATTGTTGTCGCTTACCCGTGCCAGCAATCGGTGAAGAACGGGTTGGAGGTGCGCCGAACCTAGCCTCTCCAACAAGCCCCATCATCCGCAGCGAACAAAACTGTATGTGCCTGGGATTTTAGAGACAAACACAGAAAACGCACCTGAGCCAGCTCCATTAGAGCATAACCTTTCTTTTTTGTAGGAGCAAAATTAACAAGCCTTTGAGCATTATTAACCGGCGATTCCCAAGAAAAATCTATTCGAGCAAGTAAAAGTTGATACTCCAAATCTGCGTCGTGAGTTCTTCTGAAAGGAAAAGATGCAAAATATGAAAAAAAACAGAAACACTATAACTTACTTCGCGTACGAATATGCAGAATTCCAATATTTTTCGGCTTCACTTTTACGTTGCAGATTCGCACAAAGGCCTGAACACAGCCGTTCCTGAAATAATCCGGACAACTGTATTTGCTACTGACTTTTAAGCGTATTCACGGCGAACTAGATTATTGAGCCATCACACTCTTACGGGGTCAAGGCCTTGAAGAGGGAAGAGAGGTATAGGGCGCTTCCCCTCCTCTCCCCCTCCTCCCCCTCCACTTACATTGCCGCCTCAGGAAGGTGAGAGATTGATTCAAAAACCCTGGATTTTCAGGGGAGTAGATATGCATCAAAATTGCACACGAACACGTACCAGACCTGCTTTTCTCCTGGCAGAATCGCCACCCACTCTGACGGCTTTTTTATCAGTGTCGATTCTGTGCCCGAATTTCTTGATGTAGTCTACGCTCTTCAAACACCATGATAGTGCCTGAAAAGAACTATGGGTGAATTTGGATAGCAATTAAATCACTTCTTATTACCTCCTCGAGATCAGCTGTATTGTGTGACTGCTGCATGTTCAATTTCTCGTATACCCATCCAGTAACATGCAATGAAAGTTGGATCTGTGAATGGCTGCCGCTCTGCTGCGCTGTCTGTCGGAAAAGCGATGCATACTCCAACGCTTCTTTCCTATCACCTTGAAACGAATTATTCAAAGTAATTTGTCGGCTATTGGTAATACCATCAGATAAGAGCACCCCGCCTTTCAATGGTAATCCTACTATATATTCCGTTGGTTTGTCGGTTTGTCTGTGTGCGGGTGGGGTATGTGGCAAGAGAATCGTAATTCGCCGCGCCAGTGGGCGTCGCGTGCGACGTCGCGCCCGCTAATGACGACGATTTCAGGTGGTATTGGTCGAGAATAGACAATGTATGACCAAAAATAGACATAAGTGTCTACCATGTCCTTGTCTACATGAAATCCGATGCTCCAATCGAAAGGGTAGTGCAAATTGAAAAACGTCGCGCCCATTGCCGCGCGCGACGAAGCGGCAATTTACGATTCTCTTGCCCGTCTCCCGTGTGTGCAAAAAAATCGTGTAGAAAAGACCGGATGTCCGGAAATTGCACTTTTGGCTCAGCGATAGACAATTCAAATTGATGAATGAAAGACATGGGACAGGAACATTATTGGTGGCTGACAGGAAGTAATAATAGTTGATAAGAGCTGATAAGGGGCATCAGAAAGGAAGCGTCACTGAGCTCACTACGTGCCCCACAAGAACTGCGTTAGAAAGGGAAGATCACCACACAGATTTCCGGCGCTGTTTGTTGACGGGGGGGGGCATTTTGCACTTTAACGACTTTCCCATCGACGTGTCGACCCATCTAGACAGCCTCTTCTCGAGTTGACAGGTTTTACCATGATGGCTTGACCA